TGACCCAGGGAAAGTGGGAGACTCTTTCTCCCCAGTTTGTGGGTCCCAGTTTCCCTACTCTGGTTACACTTGGGGATTGGAGATCAGCACCAGCCGCAGCCCCAGCCCCAGCCCCAACCCCAGCCCAGGGCCTGCAGGGCCAAGTGTGGCCTGTGCCCAGAGGTAGACAACTGCATGGTCTTTAGATTTCTTGGGCAAGTCCCTCTGCTTTTCTGAGCCTCAGTTTTATCAGCTCTCAAATGGGATTTTCATACATGCCAAAGATTAAATAAAATAATGTCCTAAATGCTAAAGAATGGCCCCAGCTATGACTATTTTGTATTTCTTAGGCTAGGCTCTGATTCCCTCTCCCTCTCTCAGACGCTCCCTGATTTTGACCACGAGGCTGTCCCATGGCTGACTCAGGCTGCATCTGCCCACCTTTTGAAAGCAAAGAGCTGGGGGCCCACGCCTTGGGCTGCATCTGGGCTTCGCAGGCTTCCCTGAGCCCTAGGCTGTGAGTCTCCAGCAGCCTTGCATCAGCTTCAGGGCTGGCCCTGGACAGGAGTCTGGGCAGCCAGCAGTCTGCAGCAGGACAAGCAGCAGGGACAGCAGGCGGCTGGGGAGAGAAGGAGCAGGAAGTAAGGCATATTTGTGCCTGCCATCAGTCACTGTGGGCCACTAGTGCGGCCTGGGCCAGGCGTAGCGGGGCAGGAAGGGGCCTTGCTCATCTCACAGGGTTGGAGCAGGGCTGCTCACCAGGGAGGCTGGCATTGACGGATACATGGTCAACTTCCTGGGCAAAGCACCTGCCCTCTGTGTTCTTCCTGTTTTCTTTCTTTTAAAGATTTTCTTTATTTATTTTTAGGGAGCGGGGAAGGGAGGGAGAAAGAGAGGGAGAAAAGCATCAGTCAGTTGCCCCTTGCACTCCCCAAAGTTGGGGGTGGGGTGGGGGGTGCCTAGCTCTCAGCCCAGGCATGTGCCCTGACGGGGAACCAAACAAATGACCCTTCAGTTCTGACCCTTCAGGTTGCAGCCTGGTGCTCAATCCACTGAGCCTCCCCAAGCAGGGCGTCCTTCCAGTTTTCTTGATCTAGAAGGAGGGAATACCAAAGTGACTCCCCCAGGCTCCCACGGTCCGTAGGCAGGACTTAGTGGGAGCAAGTTTTGAGTGCTTCCTCTGTACCTATGACCCACTCTCCTCTCAGTCCTTATCTTTGTCTCCAGTATGGGAGAGCAGGGGCTGGTTCCTGTGCCCTCTTAGCTCCCAACATTTAGAAGAGGATCCTCCTCCTACTAGGTGCTCAGTAAATACTTGTCGACCGTCAAATGAATGCCAGGCACTGTGCCAAGCGACTTCAGTCTGCTCACTCTCTCCTTAATCCTCCCAGCTCCATTTTATGGAAGAGGAAACTGGGGGACAAAGAGGCTGAGTGCTTGGGGAAGAATGAGGCAGAGTGACTAGGTGTGAGAAGGGACTGGAATCCTGCTTCTGCCCCTAATTGGCTTTGTGTCCTCGGGCCAGTCACTTAACTTCTCTGAGCCTCTATTTTTTCTCCTGAGATAGGCTGTCTCCTGGGTCGGTCTGGTGCCCTGGAGGCCTGCTCCAGGGTGGAGACAGTGAGAGAGGGGTGACGTCTGGGGAGTCATTTCTTTGGAACTGGAGCCTTGGCTCTTATCTGGAAGGCCTGAGAGATGACAGCGATAGGTTCTGGAACAGACAGACCTGAATTCTTGTCTGAATTACAAGCTGTGGGACCTAAGGGAAGAGAGTCCTTTTCCTTCTTTAGTACTGAAACTTCACTTTCCACAGTGATAAAAAGGGGGGACTCATACCTACTTCTTCGGCCTGCTCTAGGGACTAAGTGAGGCCATGGTACAAAATACCCATAGTAGGTGCTTAATAAACACAGTGCCAAGTTGTCTCCTTTATCAGCCTTTCCAGGAGAGTCTCTTCATATGTAGCCCCCACCCCAACCTTGGGCCCTTTAAGCTGCCAAGCCTCCAACACCTCTGCAAGGAATTCAGTCCTCCTGTTGGCCTACCCTGCCGCAACCAGGAGAGGTGCCTCTGCGAGCAAACAGGGAAAGGTTATGGTCAGGGTGGCTGGTGGCTCCAGAGGGCTCTCCCTCAGCCCTGCCCCTCCCAGGGTAACGCGTGCCTGCCCCCTGCTGCATTTTCTTTCTGAATCATGGCCTTTAGCCCCATAGGCACTTGCACTCCAAGCTTCATAGCTGGGCATTCACCATTAACAGCTCCTTCGCCAGCACTAGGCTGCCCCTGCCCTGTCTCTCTTGCTGCCCTTCCCCCGTGAGCCCGCTGCCCTGCCTGGCACACTGGCCGCAGTGTACCCAAAGCACATCCCTTGGCGAGGAACACCCTCTCCCATCCTCACCCAGGAAGTCCTGCTTCCCAGTCAAGCCCCAACTCAAATGTCAGGCAGCTCTCCCATGAAGCTTTTCCAGACCCCTTTCTCTACAGGACTAATTGCTCATTCTTTAGTGTTCCATCCCAGGTTAGTGGAGGCTGCAGTGGTGTTCACAGGTCATAGCAGACCTGCTCCGGCTCCTCTGGGAAGGGGGCAGACGCTGCTGATGTCCTGTGCTGCCTGGCCCAGGCTGCCGGACACTTGCCCAGTGCTGTCCAGGGTCCCCTGTGCACGTCTCCAGCCTCCATCTGGGCTCTAAGCCCCAGAGGTAGCAGGTGCGCCCTTCCTTCGGCAGGAAGGCTCTGGCTCCACCCGACTTGGCGGTGTGCAAAGCTATAGTACAGATGGGGATGTCGAAAATATCCGTGACATATTCCAAACTGGCCTACTTTCCTATCACGAGAGAGTCTGAGACGGAGACGGGCGAGGACAAGTGAGACGGGAGTTTGGGACCTGTTCCCACCTCCTTCTCCCTCCTTCCACTCAGTTGTTAGACAGAAGAGGGATTTGCAGCCTCTCCCAGCAGTCTTCACCCTGTTCTGGGGCTGTGGATGGGGTGCTGGTGCGGAAGAGTAGGGCGCAGAGGGCCTGGGGAAGTTAGTGGTGGAACCAGGGACAGAGACCTCAGTCCTATCTGGGGAAGTTCCAGCCCCAGGCAGGGCATCAGAGGTCATTGCACTGGACTTGGGGGCTGACGGCTTGGGATCAAGTCCTGGTTCAGCTGTGAAGCCTTGGTCAAGTTTCGTAACTCCTCTTGGCTTTCGTTTTCTCATCAGCAAATTGGGTTGCTCTTAATCCTTGCTTGCCCTCCTCAAAGGCTTGATTATGGGATTACTTTGAAGACTGTAAAACTCTGGGCCCTACCTTATTAATCCAATTCTCTGCCTTTTCACCTAAGCTAGGATGGGCCATCACATAGCTAAATGGCCACCTGCTCCAGGCCTCTGCTCCCAGTGGGCTTGGCAGGTCCTCCACCTTTAATCCTAGTTTAATGATCTCTGAGTAGGGAGTCACCCACGGTCCTTCCCTGGTGCCAGGCCTTCATCGTCCTTCTTGCACTCGCAGGAAGTTGACACTTGGAGCTAACTTCAGTCTCTCTTGCTGCCATGGAACCCTTGTGTGTTCTCCAGCTTGTCTCCTTATTCACACATGAGGTGATCATTGTTTTAGTTTTTCTGTTTTCAGACAAGATCTCCCTCCTTCCCTGTTTCGTAGGGTGGACCGGATTTTCAGGGCAGTTTTCTAACTGATGAAGCTGGACTTCATCCTGCTTTCAGATTCCTTACCCAATTTTTTATTTTTCCAAGGGGCAGGTGGGCAGTCTCTGCCTCAGGTTCCCCAGCTGGCACACGACGGAGAAATAATGGCCAAAATTGGGAAAAAGAGTTTGCTATGGATTTGCTAATCAGGGCAGAAACAGAAATAATGGCTCATATTTCAAACACTTAGGCAGATACCCTTTATCCAGCTATTTCAGTTCTAGGGATTTCCTCTACAGATGTGCTCACTCATGTTGTGTGAAATTAAGTAACTACCAGGCTACCTCTTGCCCTGGAAACAGCCTAAACACCCACCAACAAGTAACTTTCTACATGCCGAGGCAGAACGATCTCCAGTTCATATTGTGAGGTGTGTATTTTACCCTACTGTTTGGGCAAGAGATCACAAAGAAAGTGCTCGTGCGCACAGGAGTGAGCCTGAAAGACCCAGGGACCCGGGAATGGTGGATGCTTCCAGGACTGGACCGGGCTGGCTGGGGACAGAGGCAGTGGTGGGGAAGCTGACTTTCCACACGTTGAGTGGCCCAACCCTAGGGGTCCTAGAATAAGCTAAAGAGGACAGGGGGGCCCACAAATTCCTTGCAGATGGTCATGTATATTCATTTGTCTAGGGAGAGGGTGCAAAGCTTTCGTCAGGATCACAAAGTGTTCAGGGTCCCCAAAGGACACACCCCCTATCGTAGGGCATGGTCACTAAAGGTCTTTGAGTGGAAGGGTCTAGTGGGGCTTTGGCGTAGTGGCTAGCAGCAAATGTGTCTGATTCATCCTGGGAGCCAGCCTAGGGCCTAGGGCATGGAGAGGGGATTGTGGGAAGTAAGACATTCCAGGGAGCAGGGAGTCCACTTAGAGGGCAATAAACATAATCTATGGGAAGGAAAACCTGAGGGCTTTTTAAAAAGTATGTTTGGAGCAAGATTAGGGAGGAGAGGGCCTGCCCCCCGGGGCAGACTGTGGGCAAAGACGCTGAGGGCGGGGAGGTGAGCTCCTTGGAGCCAGGAGCCAGGTCAACTGCACATCTGTTGCTGCTTGGGAAGCAGAAACCTGAAAGGGAGCCTCCTTCAGGGGTGGAAGCCCGGCAGAGGAGGGGCTGCCGGGACGCTGCGCGGGCCCAGGAGGCTGCGCTCTGGGCGTCCGCGGGCCTCCTCCGAGTCTTCGGAGCGGATGCCCTGGGCCCCGGGCCGGGCCAGGACTCACGTCGGCACACGCTCCCAGTTCCAAAGAAGGAAGGGTTTGAAATCTGCTGTTGACTCAATGAACGTCCTGGGAAACTCCTGCTTTCTTATTATTTTTAAGTTTTAATATTTTTATTTTTTAAAAATAGGGAACGCTTCACAAATTTGATGTCATCCTTGCGCAGGGACCACGCTAACTTTCTCTGTACGGTTCCCGTGTTAGTGTATGTGCTGCCGAAGCGAGCACTCATTATCACTTTTAAAAATGGAGGTGAAATTCACATTACACAGAATTAAAGCGAACAACTCAGTGGCCTTGAGTGCATTCATCCTGTTGTGGAACCACCAGATCTATCTACTTCCAAACCATTCTCGTCACTGCAAAAGGATACCCCATATGCATGAAGCAGTTGCTTCCCATTTCTCCTCCCCCCAGATAATTTTTTATGGGTTTACCTATCTGGAATGGTTCACGTAAATGGAATCATACAATATGTGACCCTTTGTGTCTGGCTCCTTTCACTTACGTAATGTTTTTGAGGTTCATCCGTGTTAAGCATGTATTAGTACTTCACTTCTTTATATGGATGAATAATATTGCATTGTATAGATACATCACAGATTGTTTATGCATCATCCACTGAATTCTATGTTTAACCTTTTGGAGAACTGCCAAACTGTTTCCCATAGTTGCTGAACCATTTCACATTTCTTACCAGCAGTGTACAAGGAGGGTTCCATCTACTTTCATTATTAAGCAGGTGATTGCTGTGACCTTGGAAGGCAAGGAGATGGTTACCAGGTGCTGGCACAGGCAAAATAGGTCAGGGTGATACCTGCCCTATTCCCCCACCTGCTGGCTGGAGTGGCAATGTGCGCGCGTCCGCGCGTGCCTGTGTGTGCGTGTGTGTGTGTGTGTGTGTGTGTTCCCTCTTTCACCAGGCATGTGGGTCAGATGGTGACATCTAGAGCCTTAAAGCCAAGCTGGATAGAGTCCCGCAGGAGTGGGGCTTGTGGTCCACCTGGGCCCCAGCAGCTCACGACATATTCTCTCAAGGATAGATACAGCCTGCCCGCCCCTCCTCCCTGCTCCAGTCCCCTCTCCTCATCTCTCGTCTTTTCCTTTCCTGGGCCTCTCACCCCTTCTTGCCTCCCACCCTCCCTTCTTTCTTTCCACCACCCCTCTTTCCTACATCCCCTCTTCTCTTCTTTCCTCCTGTGTTTTTGCCCACCTCTTATTTTCTCTGCTTCCCATTTCTGTCTGCCCTCCTCTCCCCGCCCCTTGCATCTCTACATTCTCGCTCCAGTTTCCTCATTCTCGTCCACCCCCCACCCCCTGCCCCCAAGAGCACTAAGGCCAAAGTTCGCTCACCAAAGACAATTCTTCCACCTAAGGGACTGCGTGGGAAAGAAGGAGGTAGGGAGCTGTCTGCTTGCTCATGGGCTGTATCCACAAGCTCCACTCCCCACTTAGGCCCACCGCAAATGAGGTGGGGTGCAGAGAAGTCCCTCACCTTTATTCCCGCCTCCTCCCCGGAGAGGAGACGGCAAGCAGCTGGGGATAAGGAGATCCAGTCTGGTCACCTCTGTCTGTCAGGATCAACGTCAAGGTCCGGGGAGAAAGGAGTTGTCAGAGGCTCTATGCGCTTAAGGTGTAGGAAGTGGCCTTGGTGGTAGTTTGAGGAATGGAGGGGGGAAGCGCATCCATTTGTGCCCCAGAGCCCCCCGGCCGCCCCTGTGCGCCAGGCCCGCTGCACCTTGCTGGGTGAACCACACAGCAGGCTCAGTCCTGAGCGGGGAAAGCAGGGGAAGACAGCCCTGCCCCATGGGTCCTGGAAACATAGCTTCTCACCAGCAGTAGCAGCATCACTTGGGGATTTGTTAGAAATGCAAATTCTCAAGCCTCTCCTCAAACTTATAGAATTAGGAACTTTGGGAGCGAGACCGACAACCCTTGTTTTAACAGACCATCTAGGTGATTCTGGTTCTCACTTTAGCACAAAAACCACCGCCCCACTCTGTGTGCCTCTCAGTGCCCCGAGTCTTGTGGGAGACACAAGGCCTTGCGCTGAGAAAATTCCCATTAAGAAGGTGGCATCTAGACTTCTCCCTGCAAGCGGCTCTGCCAGTGTCCCTCCCAGCCGGAAGCACCAGGACGAGTCTCTTCAGAGGAGCCGGCTACAGACAGGACCCCTGAGAACCGCCCCCTTCCAGTTCTCGCTCCATCCTTCAGAAAGTGGGTTTGATGTGCTAATGAGGGCATCCATTATTGAGTATTATTAGCATTCATTACAATAACAAGCAGGGGAGGAGAGGGGCCACTGGGAATGGAGGAGGGTCTTTTGAAACTTACTGCCATTTACTCCTCCCGTACAGAGTGGGAGAGGGTGTGGGGGAGTGAGGAGACTAGGCTGCGGTCAGAAGAGCGCAGGCTGGCAGCGAAGGGAGTCTCCCCCCATCCTCCTCAGCGCAGCGCCCCCTCCACCCCGCACTCCCACCAACTTCTGCCCCAGATGCCAGGTCACTGCCCTGGTCACTCTCTCCCCAGAACAGGGCCAAAGCCCAGTCCCCTCACTGCCTCCAGGTTGCTCTTGGTGGAGTCTGGAAGGTCCAAAAGGGGCTCATGAAATGCGGGGGCCTGGCGACACCCCGCTGGCAGGGGGCTGTCCCGAGGATCTGGGGTGGGAGGCTCCAAGGTGGCAGGGGGAGCAGTCCAGGGTGTCCAGACATAATTTCTACATCACCCTTTCCCTTGTGCCTTGCCCTAGAGGCCCATGGGCCCCTCTCTGGCCACCCCAGGCCCCACCTCCCTCTTCCCGTTCCAGCCACACAGAGGGGAGGGAGGGGCGAGGCTGAATGCTCTCACCTCAAGGATGCTCCCACGTTCGCTCCCTCCTGCAGGCTCCCCCGCATCAGGTGAGGAGGCTGGGTGGAGTGGCTGGGAAGGGCAAGGCGGGCAGTGCCAGCTGCCCCCTCCCAATAGAGAGCAAAGCCACAGACACAGAGGAGGAGGAGGGCCCGGGGGGAAGTTACCTGTTGCACAATGAGAGTGGGGGTGGGGTGGCACCTGAGGCATCTCAGGTGGAGGCAGCTGGCACATTGGTTGTGCTGGGCACCGTGCCAGCTTACAGGAGCAATTTTCATCTCTCGGCTGGAAAAAATCATACCTGGGCTGCTCTCGCCTTGATCAGTCAGTCTTTTCCCTACACCAGGAGCCTCTGCTTCTGAGGCCTGACCGGACAGGGAGAAGGCCCTATCTTCCCTGGGGTGGGGGGTCGGGCCGGGGATCAGGTGGGTCCATGAGGGGTTGACGGTGCCAGGCCATCTGCCCCGTGGCTCCACTTGGAGCCTTGGGGTCTTTGTTCCTGTTCAGGATACGTATCCTTTCTCGGCCCTCCTCGGGACACTTGGAGGCCACTGTCCTGGGTTGGGTGGGTGTGGACAAAGGAGCTGAGGAGAGAAGGGAGTCAGATGAACTCACAGCTCTGCAGACGATCAGGAATGTTAAGGACTGTCTTTACAAAGTAAGGTACATTAATAAAAAACATCACCTGAATCTGATTTAAGCTCCTTACTAGGAAGGGGGCCCTCATGATGTAAGAGGTCAACTTGGAGTGGGGAAAAGATGAATGTATTGTCCCACTGACACCTTTGGAACTGTTTCTCATCTCTAAGGGCTGATTCATGGACTCTCTCCCCCTCAGTCCCTGAGGAAGTGGCTTCTTGGCATTTAGCGTAAGGGCAGAAAAATCTCCATGTGACAGGACAAGCATTCCCAACTGTCATCCAGGTGATAATGCTCACTTCCTGAACTTTGACATAAATGCATGTTTTAACCCTCAGCCACATTCTAGAGTTCCCTCTCTCCCACCCACCACAGGGTCATGAGAAGCTTGCCAGAGGTCGGCCCCGGCTTCTGGCAGCCCCCAGGGTTAGGAGATGGTGGCGGTGATAGAAGAGCTCTGGAGTCAGGCAGATCTGGGTTTGAATTTCCACGTAGCTACTCTTAGATTGGCTACACCTCTCTAAGCCTCAGCTCGTCTCTGAAATGGGGCTGAAAATGACCACTTCTGCAGGGTTGTTGAGAGGATTAAATTAGAGAATATGGGCAAAGCAGCCGCTGATCCCCTTCCTTTTAGGTGGGCACAAAGTAAGGGAGGGAAGAGACCTTGTCTCGTGGGGGACACCTGAGGGAGAGGCAAGGGACAGAGGCTTGTGCAGTTGAGTGGGAGGCTTAAATGTCGAGGAGCAGTAGTGCAAGCCCCCAACTTCTGGGCTTTGAGAGGCTTGGGAGGCGATGTCCATGCAGCTGTGGAGAAGCTGCCCCTCCCTCTGCCAACCCCTCCCTCACACGGGGCCTGCTGCCTCCCATGCCGGTCCTGGGCAGGCGGCCAGGCGGAGAGCTGGACAAGTTCCCACTGCGCACTCAGAGGCCAAAAGATGGGCACCGTCCAGTTGGCAGAAGGAGAGGCAGCTGGCCCAGGAGGGGAGAAGTCAGGGTGCCGACTGCTGGGGTCGTGTGCCCAAACGGTGTGTCCAAGAAACAGCTCTTGGCTGCCCTCCTGAGCTGTCTGGCTGGAGCTGGGAAGGGCCCTGTCCTCTTGTACTGGCCCTGCCGCCTAAATTACTGCAGCTGGAGATTAATCTCTGAGGGGCATCAGGGACTTGCCCCTAGCCAGGCATGTGGCTGGCTCAGGGGCAGGCCTGGGGGCGGGCAGGAAAGTGGGAGAGCCTAGATTAAGGCTGGAACTGGGTAGAACAGGAAGTGGGGAAACCGGTTTGTCACTTGGGCCTCAGGGTGGGGTCTCCTCTGCTGCCTCCCTGCCTGCCTGCCACTCTGCCTGGCAAACTATAGCGAAGAGATGTAATGTGCCCCTTCCTTGCTCGTCTAACCTGGCTTTGGGGATACTGAGAATAAATTAAAGGGGCAGGGGACTTAGCCCACCTGCCCCTCCCCAAGAGACGCTTGGGAGAGAAGAAACAGGACAGAAAACCAGAGGGAGAGAGGGAGCAAGCAACCGGGACAGAAGGAGGGGTCAGTGCTGGTCTCAGCTGGAGAAGTCTGTGGATTCCACAGGTAGGCCACGGTAGGAGTAAGGTCAGGGTGGGACTAAGGGCAGGGTGGGGGTCAAGGGGGGTGGGACAGTGCTGACCTCTGCAGGCTAAGGTGGTGATGGCAATGGCGTCGCCGAGCTAAGTGTGAGAGGGGTCAGGAGCTGAAGCGCCCTCCTTTGGGGTTGGCTTGAG